AATTAGTCACTTCTGCATCTGGTTTGTCCAGTCTGGCAGAGGACGGTTGCTGTCTAAAAATATATCGTGCGGCTGGCTTACGGAGGAGGAGTGGGAAGGTTTGCTTACGCACAGGACTTCTCTTTGGGCTCTCTGCACGGAAGAGTTGCGTGCAGGAGACCTCCAAGCGCTAGACAAATCTATCTACGCGCGCTCTTTTTCCAGGTTTCCTCATGGAGTCTGTATTCCAGGGGAAACTAAGGCATGGAAGAAATGGGGCGAGGTCTTTCAGACCCTTTCGCTTGATCGTTTTGTGGCTTTGACGCTGATGCTGCGACCAGAAACCTCCGATCCTGCCATGGGGAGTCCCGGGGTGTCGGTGAGTGCTGAGTGAGGAGGAGCAGGAGGAAGTAACTGAACCTATGACTAAGGTGGAGAAAATATCAGGGAAGGTTTTGTGTTAATAATGTTTGTTGGAGTAGTTTCCTTGAGAAGGGCAAGAGAGTCAGACCTTTGAGTCACTTTGTGCTAGAGACCGTTTCTTGGGGAATCATGGACAAGGTGAGAGCAGGACGTGCGTTCAGATCCTCTCTGCTGTTGCGATGGAAATGTGCAGCAACTGTTAGCTAAAGGAGATGAAAATTGTAGTTGTCTTTCTCTTGATTTAATTATGATCTTTCGAGCCTGTCCTGCTTTTGATTGCATCTGGTTTCTGCCTAGCTTAGAGGATGGTGACCAGCACCGCAGAGGAGAGGACAAGATCTGGAATACCAAACAGAGGGCACGGAGGGAAACCTCTTTGCATCCAGTCTCGCGTCTCCCTTTAATCACTGCGTAACTTCTGGCAAGTAACAGAGTCAGTGGCTGCTTATGCACCTGGTCCAGGAGGAGTAATAAAAATCACCGCCCGAGGTGTCCCCACGCTCCTTTCCTTTCTTTTGGTGCTGTGGGTGTCACTGCTGTCTCAGCTTGTGAGCACGAACAGACTGACAAAGGCAGGCTGTAAACACTCGCAGCTTTAAGACCTTTCTTCTTTTTTTTTCCAAGAAGAGCAGAGAAATTGTCTAAATTGTCTAGGTGGTGAGTTTGCCGATAGGGAGTTTTCCTGCCTGGCTTCCTTTGGTGCGTGTGTTTGTACGTGGTGGAGGCGGAGGGGAGCTGTGTTTCCCTTCTGATTTAATCACACCGATTAGTTGCTCCCATGGAAGTTTTTTCTCTGCAAAGCACCATGTTTATATCAAAGAGGATGTTAAAATGCATCAGCCACGGTTCCGTGCAGTCTGGCCTCGTCCAGCAGTTTTTCTGCTGGTTTGGTGAAACTGAATCTTGGGAATTTTGCAGAGGGCATGTTATTAAGGCCAAGATTCAACAGCTTGTGCCCGAAAATTTTCAGAACCCACAGAGATGCTGCCTTCTGGGAAAGCTGCTGTGCTGCTTGCACAGATACATCATTTAAACCCTGAGGTTGTTTTTTTGCTGCAGGCTCCTGCTGATGTTAGAGGAGAATGAAACGTTTCTCTTTCTGTTAACAGCAGCAACCCACTGGAAGTCCTGGGAAGGCTTGGCGCTGGCAGCAGCCCCATGGTGGGAGCAGGGAGGCGCTTGCGAGATTTGTGGCCGATTTCTTCTCTTTGCCTGGTTTGGGGGTATTTATTGTGTGATTTGGAAACTGATGGGAGCCAGATGGCTGTTTCAAAGATGGTGCATCAAACTCCAGGCAATCTTGACTTTGATTGAAGAGTTTCTGATTTAGGATATCTGTTTGTATTTAGGCTTTATTTTGTGTGTCTTCTGTTTTGGAAGTTTCCTTGGGTTACATTTTTAAGTTTTTCCTGTATGATCACGGAAGCCAAACAGGAATCAGAGCATCCCCCGTGGTATTGTCCTCGGTCGCCTTGCTGGGTCTTTTGTTTCTTCTGGCAGCGGCTGGATGTCGGTGATAGGAACAGCCTGGCATCTCAGAGGTGGTTTGCTTTATGTTGGTTTCTTTCTTGCTCAGCTTTGGGTAGTAAATCTCAGAAGTAAATGAAATGTAAGTAGATGAAAGCTGTCAAATTATAAACTTGGATTATTCTGAGAGCAGATGGTGCAAAAACTGGTCGGTTGCTTGGTGGACTTGGTGGCCTCGTAGTGAGTGTTTGCAGAGGATTAAACTTCAAGATTAAACCTTTACAAAAATGTAGGGTAAGGTGCCTCCCCTGCCACGTCCCTTTCTTTTGTAAAGGGCCTTAGGCGAATACCAGAGGGAGGAGAGGCTTCGGGGAGGTGGAGAGGGTGAGGCGAGGACAGAGATTGGGTGAAGAAAAGGGCAAAAGGAGTGGTGGAATGGTGCAAGCGGGAGCTGGGCTTTCCTGCAAAGCGAGGCTTGCAGAAAAATAAGACAGTGAAGCCACTGTGCCTAAGGGAAGTGCAGCGAGGATGGCTCGGAGGTCCCTCTTTCCACTGGTTATTTTTCCCTGACTTTTAGGGGCTTGTAACATTTGCATCAAATTAACCCAAGCTGTTTGTGCGTGTTTGTGTCAGCCCTGGGCTGAGAGAGGACAGGCAGCATCTGACCTGGCATCACCGTTACCCCTTCCGGAGCGCAGGGATGCGGTTGTTTGCAGAGATTTTGTGCTAGTCAGCGCTTTGTGTCGCAGCATCCTTGCTGTCATCCGGAACCCCGTGCCGCTGCCCAGGAAGCTGCTGGCTGCCCAGTGAGGCTCAGCAAAGGGGAAAATGAGAAGGTGGTGGCTGGAAAGGTGAGGCATCCTCATGGTTTGGGCGGTTTACAGCAGGCAGAGAGCCCTTCCTACCTGGGGGAGGCACAAGAAGAAAGCAGAAGATGTGGTCTGCTGTCCCGGCATGTGTTAGCCAGCTCCGGGGAGGGGAGGAAGTGCGACGGGTGCAGATCTCGGCGTCTGAAATCTGCCTGTATCGAGGATGCTTTGGGCTGCACAGCATCCTCCAAAAACATCTGGATCTGCAGCTGGTCTGATCCCTGCCCAGGTCGGAGATGCAGGTACAGGAGCAGGGCAAGGATGGAGGGCAGGTAAACCAAAGATGTGAGAGAGTAAAACCCTGGGACACCGAGGGTTTTGCACTGCAGAGAGACCTTCCTCTTCGTGGGGTGGTGATATTGGTGAGAGATGTGCCGCTACAAGTGTCACTCCTCCTTCCTGGCCTTTAGGACCTGCTCTTCATTAGCCAACACGTCGTCCTGAGAGTTTTGCTGGCTGCAGGGATGTCTGGTGTGTTAATCTTTGTTTTTTTGATTTCTTTCTTTTAATTGATATTTGTGCTGTGTGGGAAAACTGAAACAGGAATACTGGAGTGCTGCGTTGGCTCGGGGGACACGCAGAGAGCTGTGCAGATGTGAAGGGAGGAAGTAGCTGGGTTTCTTCTCTTACAGGAATGCTATTTATAGCGTGCTGTGCCCCACGAGCTGCGGGGACACACCTGATGTGTAGCGAGCGCTTTGTCGGGGTGAATTTTTGTCTGTGGTTTCATCCGCCGGCAGGCAGAGATCTTGGAGGCTCTGACCGGCCATGGTCACAGGGGGTGTGTGGACTCTCCAGTCCAGGTGTTGGGAATGGCCTTTCCACCGTCCTGTCCTCTCTCCCCTCCTAGGACATGACCAACCTGGAGGAAGGGGTGGAGTTCCTCCCTGCCATGAACTCCAAGAAGATGGAGAAGCGTGGGCCAAAGCGGCGGGTGGTCGTCACCGTCATGATCATTGTTTTCCTGCTTGTCTCCATTGTCACCGGCCTCCTGGTTTGGCACTTCAAATGTGAGTATGACATCTGTTTTACCCTGTATTGCTGACATATGCCCTCTCTGCCTCCAGGGAGGCTTCAGGAAGCGGAGGGACACCATTTCCATCGCCCTACCCTAACTCCTGTGCCTGGGGACCTGCTGTGCCCCGGTCCCAGCCCTTACTGCCCTTTCTGACTCCAAACTGTCCCCTTCCAGACAGGAACGTGCCCGTCCAGAAGGTTTTCAATGGCCACTTGCGGGTTCTCAACTGGGACTTCCTCGATGCTTACGAGAACTCCAGCTCGCCGGAGTTCCTTGTGCTGGCCAAGAAGGTGAAGAGCACGGTAAGAGGTTTCTTGCATCCCTCCTCCTGCAAGCAGGACTTTTTTCTTTTGCCCTGTGGCCATGGGGATTTTGCATGTAAGACTGCTTGGAGCTTTCTCGCTCCCCTCAGCTCTCCCTGCTCACAGTGACACGCCGGGCTGGGTGCAGGGAGCCTGCCTTTACTCTGGGTCTTGGCATCACAGCTCCAGCCCAATGCCATGGGATTTCCCTGCCTCTGCCACCCGGCGTGTGCTGTAGGAGACTGCCTGGGCAAATCCCAGCGTCGGCAGATGAGTCAGGCTTTGGGGCTGGGGGCTGAGGCAGGAGCGCATCTGCCCTCTGTGCTGAAACCGTGGCTGCTCTTGCCTTTCCCTTCAGACTCGGGTATTTGTTGTGCTGCCCTCGGCGAAGAGCGGGGCGAGCTGAGTCAGAGCAGGCTGCGGTGTGCAGGTCTGGGCGCTTCTGGGACTCTCAACTCTCCCTCTTCCTCTCTTGGGTCCCTGCAGATTCGTGCACCCAGGGATGCCGGGTATGTGCCCTGATTTTCCATAGCAGGCTTTGAAGCTCTGTCTGTCTTTCCCTTTTCCCCCTTTCTCACTTTCAGACGTGCTGAACACCCTTCTTTAAACTTTTCAGGTAGAGGACATCTACAGGGATCATCCAGACATTGGCCCTTACCACAAAGAGACAGTGATAACTGCGTTCAGGTGAGTGCTGGGTGCTGTCCGAGCCCTGTCTGGGGGTGGAGGAGGGCAATGCTGGGATGTCACGCAGCCGTGGACCCTCATTCCTGGGCTGCTGTGGATGGAGGCACCTCATAGCCACCCCAAATGACACAGTAAAGGGTGGGTAGTGAAAACTGACCCGAAAATGCTTATTGTTTTCTGCCAGTCCTCATCACTGTGTGCTGAGGGAGATGTCTTGGGAAAATCAAGGTGTTGTAGAGCCTACAAACCACAATGGGTGGTGCCTGGCAGCTCTGAAAGGGACTCCCCAGGCTGGCAGGGGCCTCAATTTGCTTATCTTGTCATTGAGGCTCTCCCTTCCCCATGGCCATCCTCCAAAACTGTCTCGCCAAGTAGCCTGGCCCCTTCTGCTGGTACTTGAAGTTCTGCTGGGTCTGTCCTTGCTCTCACCCCATAATCTCCCTTCCCCTGCAGCGAAGGCAGCGTCATTGCCTACTACTGGTCAGAGTTCGTCGTCCCCAAGTACCGGGAGGAGAGTCTGGACAAGGCGATGGCGGACAAACAGAGCTTGGTTCAGAAGTGGAACCCCCGCCTGCGGAACCCCACGCTGAAGGTGGAGTCGGTCGTCGCTTTCCGTGAGTGCTGGCTCCCCGGTCCCTGGGCCTCTGCGGGGGTCTTTGGCGGGGGGGTGGGTACGCTGCCGGTCGCAGCCCTCCTTTGGGTGCCTGTGGCCACGGGGAGGAATCCTCCCTCCTGCAGAGGAGAAGCTTTATCCCCTGGCTCCCCAGAGCCCAGGCAGGAGCAGTTAGCTGGCAGGGAGAGCCCCCAAGCACGGCCAAATCAATGCAGGTCCCAGGGACCACTTCAGCTTTGCGCCCAGGGACTTTGCGCAGCCCCAAGGGTGACAACACCTCTGTTTTCTCCTGCAGCTGCCGACCCCAGCATCGCTAACTCTGCTCGGGACAGTAAGTACAGTTCTTCTTCAGTCTCGTAACAGCCTCTGTGCATCCCCAGACCTCTTTGGGGTGGTGATTTCCCTTGCGGGGTGGGAAAGGGCCTGGAGAGGGGTGCTCTGCATGCAAGACAGACCCCCATGTGCTGCTTGGGGATGGTTTGGGGTCGGCCAGACTAGCTGGAGGTTGCAAGTAGGGATGATCCCTGCAAAAAGCATCTGCCCAGGGACAGCCTGCAGGCAGGCAAGGAATTACAAGCCCTGCACGCTGCATCTCGGGGGGAAAGGCAGGGCAGAACCTCCTCGTTTGCCTTCGTAACGCTCCCCTGCTCTCCTGGGCAGATAGCTGTGTGTTTGCCCTCCACGCCAAGGAAGGGGAGATCACCAGTTTCACCACGCCGGGCTTCCCCAACAGCCCGTACCCCAACAACGCGCTCTGCTACTGGACGCTGAGGGCAGACGCCAACTCCATCATCAGCCTGACCTTCAGGACGCTGGAGCTGGAGCAGTGCACCGATGACAGCGACTACATCAAGGTGTACAACTCTCTGAGTCCTGTGGAGCCCCACGCTTTGGTCCGGTGAGTGTCCCCACTAGGTGTCCGTGTCACACCCAGTCCTGGTGTGAAGTGACAGGGTGGCACTGAGAAGTCCTGCGGGTAACTGAGCTCCTGTCCCTGCTCGGAGGTGATCTGTGCGGTTTGAGGCTCTCTGTGCAGTTGTGTCTAACGGATTTTGTCCTTTGTTTTCTAGGCTCTGTGGGAGTTACGCCCCTTCCTACAACCTGACCTTCCTCTCCTCCCAGAACGTCATGCTTGTCACATTGGTTACCAACAAGGAGGGGAGATTCCCCGGCTTTAAGGCTGAGTTCTTCCAGCTCCCGAAGATGAAAGGTGAGCAGAGGCTTTGGCCCAGTTCCCCCTGGCCATGGGCAGCTGTGCGGCTGCAGTCAGTTTGCCAGGGATATTTCCAGGGCCAGGAAACCTGGAAGCAGGTCCCATCTTGGCTCTTGGAGCTTCCCTTGCCCACGGTGCTCTGGGCTGCTGTAATGATGTCCCTCGAGGAGGGCAAAGTAAGAATTTGGATTATACATGCAGATTGATGCATGCAGGAAGCACCTAATTGATCGCCTGGGTTCTCTCCAAGCCTCGGAGCAGAGCTGCTCTCTCCAGAGATCGACTTAACCTTATTAGAGGCATCTGCCTCCCTTCCTGCCTTGGGCTTGGGAAAACCACGTCTTTCTGCCTCTCTAACCCCTTTTCATCTTCTTGCTTGTCTTCTAGCCTGCGGTGGGGCTCTGAGAGGAGAGAGCGGCACTTTTACGACTCCCTATTACCCGGCACACTACCCCCCGGTCACGGACTGTGTCTGGAACATAGAGGTAAGGTGGCATCCTCTCTTTGCCTTAATTAATCTGTTAAATGAGCTTGGTTATGCAGGACACCGTGCAGGCGAGCTCACTCTAGAGACTTAGAGTCTGGCGTGGCTGGAGGGAGGCTTTGGGTGCTGGTGCCAAAGGCAGAAGAGGCTGCGAGACACCTGAACCCTGTGTGAGACTGGTGTCTTCTGGGAAGGTGTTTGTTTTCCTTCTGGACAGTGGATTTCTTTCCATTGTCAGTTATCTTCTGTCCTCCCCCAAACTCAACCCTTTTCCCATTGAACTTATTCCCATTTTCTGTGCTCCAGAAGACAACATGCCACTGACTCTGCATCCTTGTGCAGGTTCCCTCTAAAAACAACGTGAAAGTGCGGTTCAACATGTTCTTCGTGCTGGAGCCCGGGATCCCAGTCAGCTCCTGCACCAAGGACTACGTCCAGATCAACGGCACGAGGTGGGTGTCGGGTGGTCCGACCCGCGGCTTTGTCCCTCCGAGCGGAGGAGCTGTGTTATTTGTCACCTTCTGCTTTCCTTAAACTTGCTGTGGGACCAGGCGTGCTGGTGCTCTTTGGGATGTGGTGAGGCAGGAGGGTGCTCGGGTCTGAGCTGCTCTTGTAGCTCGGTGTGAGAGGGGATTAGACCCTGGGTTTGTTGCGTGCTGCAGCCGAACCCCCCCAGCGCTGCCGAACATCACGTCACGTGCCGCGCGTGCAGAAAAGCCGAGACGCCTGGCGTGGTTTTGCTCGAATGAGCAAATCTCCATTGTTGGGATAACTGTGTCACATTCGGCGATGTGTTTACTGTTACTGCTCGCTGTTACACAACCTGGTGTCAGCCGGGCCAAAAACAGAACTTGGTGCTGCGTGGGGGAAGTGAGCAATGTCGTTTCACAACATTTTGGGGCAAGGGAGCTGAAACCCTCAAAGAGAGAGTCAGCACCAGCATCTGTGGCCCTGGCTGGTCCCTGTGGAAGTGATTCCTATGGGATCCTGCAGCCGTAGAGTCCAGAGATGTGCTGGATCTGCCCCCTCCAAAAGAAAAAAAGCCAAAATTCATCGCCTGTGTGCAGCCCCAGAGGCCCAGCAGTTTGGGCTGGAATCGGAGCTGCTCTGCGGGCGCTTGAAGCGACCCTTTGTGCTGGTCGGGGGTTTGCTCAGCAATTCACTCATCTTTGTTCTCTCTTTCCTTGCAGGTACTGCGGGGAGCGTTCCCAGTTTGTGGTGGCCAGTACCAACAACAAAATAGAGGTGCGCTTCCACTCAGACCAGTCCTACACCGACACCGGCTTCTCCGCTGAGTACCTGTCCTACGACTCCAGCGATCGTGAGTTGAGGCTGTGGGGGGGAAACTGATTTTTCGGAGGTCTGGAGGCTGTCCCTCCTCTGCCCTTAACGCTGACACGGAAATCGGGAAGCACGCCTTGCCAGGGGCACAGGGACATTTCATGTTTTCCTGCAAACCTCCCTGTTGGAGGAAGATTTCCTCTGTTTTGAGGAAAAGGTGTTTTTAATGCCGGATGCCGTAAGCAGGGGACATTGCGTGCTTTGGGGAGGGGACCAAGGGGACGGCTGGAAGGCTCACGTGTGGTTTTATCCCTTTTTCCCCGCTCTCAGCTTGCCCTGGCAAGTTTACCTGCAACACCGGCCGCTGCATCGACAGGAGCATGCGCTGCGACGGGTGGCTGGACTGTGTGGATGGCAGCGACGAGAGAGCCTGCAGTAAGCCTGTCTTTTATTTTTCTGGGCTGGAGTGAAAGGCACTCGGGGTGGGGATCAATTTGGGATCTTTTCCCAGCGTAGGAGCTGTGGGCTCCTGCTGATCTAGCCCTCTCCCAGTGGGATCTCCCTTTCTTTCCAGTCCCTTCCAGCTGGGAAGGGGTTTTTCCATTTCACCCTAAAGGCTGAGCTGGGGGGTGGATTTTGTTCCCATCACATGTGGAAAACCTGTGTGATGCACGAGGGGTTTTCCTTTGCACAATTTTTCCTCTTAGATGAGCAGAGTCATCTCGTAGCTCATGTTATTTCCCAGGGTCTGCAGTTAATTGGAGAGCTGATTTAATTGCAGTTAATTGGAGAGCTAATTCTGCTGATTTCTCGCTCTCCCTTTGCAGCCTGTACCGAGCAGCAGTTCAGGTGCCAGAACGGCTGGTGCAAGCCCAAATTCTGGGTCTGCGACAACGTGAACGACTGCGGCGACAACAGCGACGAGCTGCAGTGCAGTGAGTAACCCGCCCCGCGGAGGAGCAGAGCTGTCGGAAATGTGGGGAAGAATTTTGGGAAAGGAAGGGCTGCGTGGATCACCAGTGGTGCGCAGCTTAGAGAAAAAAAGACCGGGGACGCGGGAAATCGGTGTTTTGTGGCTGCAGAGGCTTTACTTATCGTGGAGGGGAGGTAGAGGTTTGTTGGGATTTGTGTCCTGCCGGCTCTCAGGAGCTGCTCTTTCCCCAGGCTGTGCCGCCGACAGCTTCAAATGCGACAACGGGAGGTGCATCCCCAACACCCAGAAATGTGACGGCAAGGACAACTGCGGGGACGGGAGCGACGAGGGCAGCTGCAGCAGCGGTGAGGGGGTCTTCCTCCTGTACAGCTTGTACGGGTTCCCTCGGGGCTGGGCACCCCAGCATGGATTTTTTAATGGGGTTGCAATGTCCTGGGGATGGGCAGAAGAGGTGAAGGGCTCCTCAGCAGCGTGACTTCCCCAGAACTGGGGGTAACCCTTCTCCTTTTGTCCCCTGCAGCGGTCCACACAACAGTCCCCTGCAAGGATTACACCTACAAATGCCGCAGCGGGAGCTGCATCAGCAAGCAGAACCCCGAGTGTGACGGGGAGCAGGACTGCGAGGACAATTCGGACGAGGACAACTGCAGTGAGTACTCTGGGGAAGGCAGGGGACGTGGGTTTATGGGCTGGGCCACTTGGAGAAACACTTAAGTGTGATGGAGAAAGTCCCTGGGCTTTTCTGTGCAGTAGTTGGGGCTGAAAATACCCACGCTGTGTTCTTTAGCAGCGTGTGGAGTGTCTGTGTTGTTGAAAGTGTTTAGAGAGGGTTTACACACATCAATATTTTTATGCAGTAAATATTTTATCAAATTCAGAGCTGATCACCCAGCCCTGACCTGGGTAACGGGGCACTTGTGCCGTGGGAGATGCCCCAGGGGAAGGTGTAGAAGAGGAATAACCAAGTGCCCCTTCTCCTTCCCCACCCAGACTGCGGCA